AAGTATCCCTGAGGGCAGCCCTACATAGAGCACATTGTAGTAGTCCAGTCTGGAGGTGAACATGGCATGGATCACTGTGGCAAGATCAGATTAGGCCAAACAGGGGGCCAGCTGGCAGGCTTGATGTAAAAAGAAAAATGCTGACCTTACCAGTGACCTTACCTCTTTGTCCAACAGAAGTGAGTAATCAAGTCACACCCCCAGGCTCTTCAGTGCATCCACTGAATTTAACAGGACTCCATTAAGAACAGATAATTGCAATCCCACCAGAGACCTAGCCTTTCTCAGCCACATGACATCTGTCTTTGATGGATTCAGCTTCAGCCAGCTCTCCTCCAACCAACCAACCAACCAACCAACCAACCAACCAACCAACTACCATGTCCAGACAATAACTCAAGGCTCAGAGGGATGCATCTGATTGCTTATCCAGCAGGAGAAAGAGTTGGGTGTTATCTGCATATTGATGGAAGCCAGTGCCAAATCTCCTGATGAGTTCTGCTAGAGGGCACACACATACACATGCATATTAAACAACATTGGGGACAGGACAAACCTCTGTGGGACACCACATCTAGTGCATGCAAGGAGGTGACCTGGGTCCTTGATAGCTGCCCTCTGACAGTGTCCCTTATTCATACAATACACAATTCATAATCAGGGAATAAATAATTTAACATAAGTCCTGTATATGACTCACAAAATCCAAAACACTTCAAATTGTTCAGTCCCTCCTAATGAGCAAGATGCTTCACAGTGTAAAGTGGGAGAACAAGAAGCTTCCAGAAGATATCGACTTCAACAGTTCTAAAAGAGGAACACTTGAATGGTTCCAAAAGAAAAACAATGGGATTGCCGGCTTCCTCAATATGCTCCACATTTCACCAAGTGGTAATTGACTAGGTCCTTATACCAATGGCATATATCTTCTAGTTTCTTGTTGAACTGTGACTTCCCTTGGCCGTGAAAGTAAAAAACTTTTTAGTTATACCTTTTACCCTGCTTCCATTCTTCTCATTCTTAGAAATGTTATTAAATTTGCTAGGTGGTATCAATTATATCAACCAGCAGTAGATATCCAGAAGCCTGTTGATGCCAACAGATGTGACTCTTTGACTTGTGTGGCTGGCCAATTGAAGTCACACAGTGAGATACGGTCCAGGCAACAAGGAGGGTAAAAAAAGAATTTATTCAAATAAATGGGACATCATAGAGCCAAAACATCAGCCCAGATGCCCAGTGAGTAACAGCAGGGATCTGACTTATATACTTTTGTTTCTCCTCCCAATTTTACATCACCGCTGACATCATTTACACATGCTCAGATTGATTTTGTTTGTTTGCAACATTCATTAATCTTACATTTGACAAACAAGATGTTACTGGCCACATTTCAACTTTATAGATCTTTGATGATGTAGGTCCCTGTCTTATTAAAAATTATATGTGCATCTTCTTGGCGGTTCTCCCAGACATTCTCACCTCTGAATGAACATACAGGCTGAGTTCATACTGAGTACAAGATTTAACTTTCCCCGTTACAATATGGTTATTGAATTTTAAAAAGATATTAAATCTAAAGTAAATGTTCTGCTTTTGCAAAAAAAAATGCCATTTTGCTTTAGCCAGTAGAGGTCCTCCTTGTATAAAATATAAATTCTGCACTTTTAATTGGCCTTTTTGATTGTCAAAAGACTCATGATTAATATCTTCTGTTTCTGACTGAACTTTGAGATAATGACACACCTGGTCATTGGCTATTGGTAGCATCTTTGGCTATTTCTTTCTATCCAAGCAAACAAACTATTTGCCTTAAAATAATGAGTGCTGCTGAAAAGGTATACATGCACACACACACACATATTGCTTATTGATCAGAATAAGGTTTCCAATAACTCAATATTAGTAAGTTAAAGCATTTCAAACTTAAAGAAGAAAAAGTTAGTTTGATTTTCCTTTTTAAAAGTACTAAAAATTATAAGCAGTAACGAGCTTCTGAAACTGTTCTTTTGAAGCAGAAAGCCTAGACATAAATCTTCAACTTTCGACAGGTCATTACCATGGATCGTTCCAGCCTCATTAATAGTGTACTGATGTCTTTTGATGCTGGGATACCTGTTTATTAAGAAATTCCTTCTTTGACAATTAAATAGGATATAAGAAAGCTGTTTTTACATTTCTGCCTGGTATTAACTGGTTTGCCAACTGTTCCAGGAAATCCCAAATCTTTTCCCAAAGACCTCTGAAATATAAGCAATAATCATTAGATTTTGTTCATTAGACCTTATCTACACTGTGATTGTGATATATCTCTGGTATAATCGTGAACTGTTACTATCTAGATATTTCACAACACAATGCATTATTGTTTAATTATTAGGACAGGCCATTCAATTTTAGATTGAATTCTTTTCAACATAATCAGCAATTAGAATGAAATGGGGACAGGACACTGATGTCACAATCTATTATAGTTCATCACAAGAACATTTTACTTCTCTGCCTTTAGTGACATATTACTCTTATGTCTGGAATCGACCAAGAACAGAAAAGCATTTATCTTTAAAATCTATTCTTAGTGCCAAAAACCAACTGCACTGTTGGGGCCAACCCAAGAATGAGGTTAAATCAAGATGGCCATATCAGATAGCCATTTTTAGGTACCATGACTAAAGGTCTGCAAATGGTTAGTTAATTACATTTTATATTGCCACAAAAGAGGATAATACTTAGGTTTATCAAAATACTTTGTGCCAGCCATGGCCACTGAAAATAATGGCTATAGTTTCTAGGACTTGTAAATGAAGACTTTTTCTCCCTTAAATATTTCCTCTTTATAAGACATTAAAACTAGAACACTGTTGTCATAACTAAACTTCAGATTTAATATGGTTTAATAGTTATTATCCCTTCCTAGAGAAGCCTGAGAGCTATGATTCTAGGACAGGACACAGGGAGCTCTCAATACTCCTACCAAATTATGTTTCCCAGGATTCTTTGGGGGAAGCTGTGATAACAAAACTGGCACAAACTGACATACATTTAAAATATAACTGTGATTACACAGAATTTGGTCCTGAACTAGAGAATCAAGAAAGTAACAGAAGGCTGTGTGCCTAGTATTGCACTTGTGTTCATCTCACAATTCCAGTCCAAGTTGTAGAACAGAAGGTCTCTGACACTGCTAACCAAGCTGTTAGCTGGAACTGGCAGACTATCAAAGTCAACCCCAAACCCAGTCCTTTTAGACAACTGACTTCCCTTGAGTTAATCTTTTCGTGATTGTGTCTCTGGACAGTTTTGCTAGATATGTACTGCATCACTTCCTGCTAGATTTAAGGTTTTCCCTTTCACACACACCCACAAACTGCTTCAGATATGCAGCATTGATCCTTGTGTAGATATTAGTTTTGCATGTGTATGGCATTCACACATAATGCTTCTCCCTGTGCCTTGTCACATACAAGCAATAAACTCATAATAATAGATTTCAGTTTAGTCTAGCAAGAACAGAAGACCTGTACAACTTGGTCTAGAAGAATGGACTTTAGGTACTGATATATGTTTACCTTAGACATAAGCTCAAGTTATTAACATTTCCCAAAGTATGTGAACTATTTATGTGCTAGTTTCCCATCAGTGAAAAAACAAGAACACTAAACATCAGGTGCTTGTTCATATAATACTTCTCTTGCATGGTGCTTTATAACAAACCACATAGATCTTATCTAACACATAAACATTTCTTTTTTATATATATCAAGGGTAGCTAGCATTACAAACACATTATTGGAAGCTTTGCATGCCCTTTGATTTTTGTTACAAGCACTTACGTTTTACCTGCATGAGATATACAGGTTCACCCAGCCAATAACCAGAATGTGAAGTTTGTCTTTAGAATTAAATTCCACAGGAAATGTATGCTGGTTCACCTACTTAAATCAGCAGTCCTGTCCCTATAGCAACAGGCTCTCAAATTTGAATGCACTACACATCATTTCAGAATGGAGGTGCTGTCACAGCAAAACAATTTCTCAAAATTGCAAGTGCAAAACCCTTAGGAGGGAATTACTTCCAGGAGCCGAAACAATATTTTAAAGCAAACCCAGATCCCAGAGGATACAGTCCTTTTAAAGAACTGAGCTTTTAATAGAACAAAAAAAAAAATGGTTTTTGGGCTCCCAACTGCAAAAGCTTGTACTGACAGGAAGCATTTGCTGACAGGAATCAAAGGTGACCTGTCTATTAACAGCTTTGACAAGTTGCTTTCTCTGAGCATGAGGAGGATTCAAGATGCAACACAACTATTGTGAGGCAACAATAGGAAAAAGCACACAAAAGAAATGCTTGTTTCCTTTGAAGAGGCAACCTGCTACTCAGGGAGTCTGCTGGTATGGGCCATTAAAACTACAGTTAATATGTTACAGATGTTAACTTAATAATAAAAAAAGCCTATCAATCTCTAACCAAAACATGACTGCAGATAGTAGACCCCTCACTCTCCCAGATTGTTGTATAAATGGTTAGAATAGAAGACCTCTATTTTGCCCACAACTGACACAAAAGCATCCTTTGAGTGTGGACAAGCACAAGAGGAGGGAACATCATGCTTGACAGCTTCACTGTGCTTATTCTTGCCTTTTGACCCAACCCACAGGCAAAGGCATGGCTGGAGACTGTGGAGATAATGGCAGCACTGATCATGCTAGAAGGGGAACTGTGATTAGTGGGAACCAAAACTTTGGGATGGGGATTAGAGGTACCAATAATTATGTGGCTGAGTTCTGCGGGTGCTTGGATGTGCCAGGTTGGGAGAAGGGTGGTGTCAGTCACATGAATGCACAGAAACACAGTCTATTATATGAATCAAAGTTGCATGGAATAGGCTCATGCAACTTTTTCATTTAGTCACAGCCCAATGTACTTGAAAATCACAATGTAAGTAAACAAGAATGAGATAAGTTCTTTCAGAATTGTTGATGAAACAGCAGTACACTTACTAAACAGTAGAACCACTTTCCACACATGTCCCTCCATTCCTGCAGTTTATCAGTTGGCATGGAGATTGGTCACATTGTCCTACATTGCGACCAGAATTTGGATGGCCTTCTGGAATACCCAGTGCTTTACACTGTGGATCCCTTCCAGTGCAAACTTGAATGTCAAAAATGCAACCTTTAGAGAAAGAAAGATGAGAACCAATGCATTCAGAAAGGCTTCAGAAACCAAAGAAATATGAATACCTATTTTTGCTTTGTGCATCAACTATACCACAGTGGGAAGGCAGAAAAATTTATCTCAATTTAATCCAACTCCTGTTTGGTTTTGCTAATTCAAACAGGGCTCCATCAAGCCTGTTTTGGCCCTTATAGGCTCAAGCTTCAGGTTATGGATCTTAAACGAAAGGCACTACCCAAAACTGCCAGTGAATGCTCCTCTCAGTGTTATATCTCATCAAGGAAATAAATGTTCTCTGTATTTAAAGGGGGGGTGCCATTTATACCTACACATCCTTCATAAGCAATGCAATACACATTAAGTTTTTCCTTGGACATATTTTATCATTGTTCAAAACATAAGAAACCTTGTCTTCATGAATCTGGATCTAGATGAATCTGGAAAGTGTGTACCTTCCATGAGCATATATATAGAATCTGTTAGATTGCCAATTTTCCTGCACTTTTTATGAGCCTGATATTGTATTTGTCTATCTTCATCTACAGCTTCTTTATAGGTGGCTGTCAGGCTTCCAGCATGCTGATGTATACTGCTAGTGGGCTTCATTCAGCTTAGAGAGTCACAAATCAGGCAGATCTGGTACAGCACATTGGGGAGGGGGGGCAGTTTACAGTGCATTGTTTTGTTGCTTTTACCCAGCATGTAGTTTGCTGGTCTTACCTTATGAGTCTGCTAATATCTGACAGAAATAAAGGACATTCTGATCAAGTGGTACTTGATTGCCAAGTGAAAGTTACACAGAGATACATGAAGACATCGAAAGAAAACAATCAGCGATTACACAGTAAACATGATAAGACCAAAAAACCCCTGTGCAGAAGGACACTAAGAAAAAAACAGAACAATTTACTAATGAGTAACAACAATATAACTGGTAGTAATTCAACTAAGAATACTACATATGTAGTATTTACAAAAATCCAACAGGTAAATCCACAATTTTTTCAATAATCCAACAGGTAAATTTTCAACAATTCAACAGGTAACTCTACAATTTTTCAATAATACAACAGGTAAGTCTACAATGAACCTAGTAGTAATTCAACTAAGAATACTATATATACAGTGTTTACATAAATCCCACAGGTGAGTCCACTATTTTTCCAGGTAAATTTTCAACAATCCAAGAGGTAAATCTGCAATATTATTAATCCAACAGGTAAATCTACAATGGACACGATGAAGACTCCAGATTTCAGAACTTCGTTTCGAAAAGTCTTCCTCAGTAGAGGCTGATTAAAGAACTCTTTAAGGACTCATCAAATGTTTCCAAGGTAAACAGCAAAACAGCTTTCCAATTTATAATGAAAAATATTAATATGGCATCCAGTCAATATTCATAGGGGAAATCTCCAAAGTCTTATGTTGCTGGTATTTTATTGAAAAATTGTAGACTTACCTGTTGGAGTGTTGAAAATTTACCTGTTGGATTATTGAAAAAATTGTGGATTTACCTGTTGGATTGTTGTAAATACTACATACGGTATGTAGTATTCTTAGTTGAATTACTACTAGTTATATTATTGTTACTCATTAGTAAATTGTTCTGTTCTTTTCTTAGTGTCCTTCTGCACAATGGGTTGGGTTTTTTTGCCTTATCACGATATCTAAAGAAATACACAGTCAAAGAAATCCTGGTAGGATTGTCATGGCAAATTGGGTAATGCTGGAGCAGGTAGTTGGCTGAATGGTTACCTGCCCACCATCCAAATACAGAAACAATACTCAGTACAAAAGTGAACAAGGTAATGACTAAGCATGCCAGAGAACACTCTGAACCAGTTCTCCCAGGGCCATACTAGATGTGACACTGTCCTTATGGCCCTCACAAGGGCACTGCTGCCATTTAAAAGTAATTTAAAATGCTGCAAGGGCCCAATCTTTATCAGGCCCACACCATGGCATCTTGTCCCCCCCCCACCTTTTTAAGTGCTAAAACAGCTTCATGGGGGGGGGAGGTGTGGCTGTATTGGCATTTGAAAAGGAGGGGGGGAGAAGACTGTGATGCTTTGGAGCCAATCAGGATAAACAGCATCCTAATGGTAGCCATGGGGATGCCATCAATTCTAGTTGGTACAAACTACCAGTTTAAAAGAATGGTTAAAATCCACTGGGGATGGAAGGGTGGTGGGTGGGAATGCATGAGGGGAAAAATCCAAGTTGAACTTCATTGCCGGTGTGAAGGCAAAGGCATTTGCAGAGGCAATGAGAGGGAAATGGGGAATTGCCCCTGTGTGGATGTGACCAGAAATGGGCCAAATACCACAGGAGGTCCTCATTACTCAGTGCTTCTTGAGTTACATGTAGGTCTACCAAAGTATGCGCATGTGTACAGCAGATAATTGCAAATGGCACCACTCTCTGTGGGAGCCATTATATAACTGGTTTCAACTGGCAAACACAAAAAGTAGATCCTTCAAGCTCAAAGTATGCCCAAATTGGCTCAATCTCCCCATGGAGTTTTTTAGGGGAATGCTGTCACTTAAAGAAGCTCAGAAATGGCATACAAGTCCCTTGTACTGCTTCCAACCTGATTGCAAGGTAAAATGACGGTGTGTCTTGGATCATCTGTGAATGCTAGGAAAATGTGTATTTTATTTTTTAAAAATCATTTAAAACAATCATTTTCTAGGCAAAGACAATGTGATGAAAATAATAGTTACCTTGAAAGCCATTCTTAAAATTGGATCCATTTGGCAAGAGTTCTGGAATGTATTCAATATAACCTCCTACATAAAACTGACTGAAGACATTGAGCCCAACTAATCTTCCTGGAGCTGTAACCGTTTTATTTTGATGATCATCCACCTTTGAAAAAAGAGAGATGTTATTTATATCAAATGGAACAAGTATCTCTTAAGAATGTGTTCTTGCATATTTCCCACCAGAGATACATTACTATGAATTAACAACAATGGGGACAAAATTATTGCAAAAACATGTTTAATGTTGCAGTTTTTAATCAGTTGAATTCTAAATTTATCAAAGGTTCTTAATTTCGAGGTCATGATTCAAAGAGCTCCTGAGATGTTCAAATACTTTAATAAACTCAGATATGATGAGAATCATTCCATGGGCAACACTGCTGGAAGGAAAAGGCACAAGTGAAGGATGGACTCTCCTAAAAAAAAAAGAGCTCTTGCAAGCTCAAGCTGTCGCTATTCCAACAAGAAGGAAACATGGTAGGGGATCCAAGAAGCCAATTTGGATGAATAGAGAACTGCGTGATGTGCTAAGGGAGAAAAAGGAAATGTTCAAGAAATGGAGGCAAGGACATACCTCTAAAGAAGAGTATCTGTGGGTTGCTAGGCGGTGTAGTTCAGCCACCAGAGAGGCCAAAGCTCACAGTGAGCTAAAGCTGGCCAGGGATGCTTGCCACAACAAGGTGAGGAGCAAATGCAAGATAAAAAAGGCAATGGGCCCACTGTTGGGTGAAAATGGAGAAACTCTGTCAGAGGACAGAGAGAAAGCAGAAAGGCTCAATGCCTATTTTGCCTCAGTTTTTTCCCTGGAGAAGAGAACAGGCTCATTTAGAGATGCTAGCAGGCAAGTCACAGCATCTGGGCTGCTGGTTGACATGGACAGAGAGGTAGTTCAGAAGCACCTGGCTGAATTGAATGAGTACAAATCCCCAGGGCCAGATGGAATGCACTCAAGAGTGCTCAAAGAACTTTCTAGAGAGCTTACAGAGCCTTTGTCCATCATCTTCCAGACCTCTTGGAGGACGGGAGACGTGCCACAAGACTGGAGGAGGGCAGATGTTATCCCAATTTTCAAAAAAGGGAGGAGAGATGACCCAGGAAACTACAGGCCAGTCAGTCTGACCTCTGTCCCAGGGAAGATACTGGAGCAGATTATAAAGGGATCAATCTGTAAGCATCTAAAGAATAACTTGGTGATCCGGGGAAGTCAGCACGGATTTGTCCCCAACGGATCCTGCCAGACCAACCTCCTTTCCTTCTTTGATCGAGTGATGAGCTTTGTTGTTTACCTGGAATTCAGGGTTCCCCATCATATTCTGATGGGTAGACTAAAAGACTGTGGACTGGCCTGTAGGATAGTTAGATGGATAGGGAACTGGTTGGAGAACCGCACTCAGAGAGTAGTTATCAATGGCATTTCATCTGACTGGAGTGTCCAGTGGGGTGCCACAGTGCTCGGTTCTGGGCCCAGTACTTTTCAATATTTTTATAAATGATTTGGATGAGGGTGTAGAGGGGCTACTCGTTAGATTTGCATATGACACCAAACTGGGAGATGTAGCAAACACACCAGAAGATACAGATAGATTTCAATGAGATCTGAACATGCTGGAAAAGGGTTTTGTTAATTTAACAAGGATAAGTGCCGAGTTCTACATCTGGGTAACAAAAATGAGGAACATGCATACTGGATGGGAGATACACTTCTGAGTAGCAGTGTGTGTGAACAAGATCTTGGGGTAAGGGTGGGCCAAAAGTTAAATATGAGCAGCCAGTGTGATGCAGTGACAAAAAAGGCTAATGCAATCTTGGTGTGTATCAACAGAGGCATAAAATCCAAATCACAAGATGTCATACTCCCGCTGTACACTGCATTGGTCAGGCCGCACCTGGAGTATTGTGGGCAGTTCTGGAGGCCTTACTTCAAAAAGGATGTGGACAGAACGGAGCACATGCAGAGAAGAGCAACGAGACTGATTGGGCGCCTGGAGACCAAGCCCTATGAGGAAAGGTTAAGGGACTTGAGAATGTTTAGCCTGGAGAAGAGGAGGTTGAGGGGGGGACATGATTGCTCTCTTTAAGTATTTGAAGGGCTGTCACTTAGAGGAGTGCAGAGAGCTGGTCCTGTTGGCAGCAGAGGATAGGACTCGCAATAATGGGTTTAACTTATGGGCAGGAAGGTAATGGCTGGATATTATGATAAACTTTTTTACAGTAAGAGTTGTGCAACTGTGGAATGAGCTGTCTAGGGAGGTGGTGAGCTCCCCCTCACTGGCAGTCTTTAAGCAGCGGCTTGACACACACCTGTAAGGGATACTGTAGGCTAATCCTGCATTGAACAGGGAGTTGGACTAGATGGCCTGTATGGCCCCTTCCAACTCTGTGATTCTATATGATTCTATTTCTGCCCATGCAGCAAAGAACATCCAGTTCTTATGTTATGCTGGAGACTATCATCCTTTATTAAAAGTTTCAAGTTTAGATTATAAACAAGGGAAAGGGGGAAGGAGCTGCTTTTGAAAAGGGACTGCTGTTCAGGAAGTATAGATGTTGACATCACCATGTACAATCATAAAGCTTGTAAACAAACGAGTCTCTAGAGAATATTTTAAATTACTAGTTTACATAATGATCGTAGTAAAGCTTTATTATATTTTGAATTAAATTATTTCTTTAGTACCATGAGGCTCTCCAGGTTATGAACAGGAACACATTTACACTACAAACGATCAGTTAAAAACAATAAAACTAGTGCCAATAACAGCATTAAAATAGTAAAAAAAAAAACCAAACAGCAGCAGTAGAATGTTAAACAAACAACATTCTAGTTCAACAGCCGATAAAAATGTCAAAATGTAAATAAGACATGACGTTCCTCATACTGCCACACTTTTTCAGCCAAATGTATCTCATAAGACAGTGGTTAGAATAAAAGCGAAAAGGCCCCCCTGACCTCCCTGGATGAAAAACAAGATCAAAATGTATGATAAATAGACATCCATAGGTAGAATGTATGATAGATATACATCCATAGATAAGAGCCCTAAATGGTCTGGGACCTTCAAACCTAACGGAATGCCTCTTCTGAGATGCCACCCCCCAAAATTTAGGTTCTCCAACCCACAGCCTGCTTGTGGTGCCTGGTCCCAGGTATGTTCACCTGGTATCAGTTGGGCTCAATGTCTTCATTGAGGTGGAACCAACTGGCAGACGGTGCATGGGCCCATAGGGGCCACACAGCAGAGCTCTTCCATTTAGCTTTTTATTAGTTAGATCTGTATTGGAATATTGTAAAGGTGTACTTCTTTTTGTATGACTGGTCTAAGGACTGTAGAAATAAATAATAATAGTTAGATTTGTTTATGTGGGCTGCCTTTTAGTTTTATTTGTATTTTTTTAATTTATTATATTTTAGCAATTTTTTGCTGCCTCAAGACTGCTTGGTGGCAAGAGGTGGCATATTAATTTAATAATAACAACAATAATAACAGCAATAACAACAACAACAACAACAACAATAATGCATTTGGAAACCTAACCTGTGGTGCTTCACAGTGTGCAATTCTATCCCCCACATTTTCAATCTCTATGTAAAGCCTTTAGTCAAATCATTTGTAGCTTGGGGGTTGGTTGTCATTAATATGTAGATGATACCCAACTCTATATATCCTTATCCAAGTGTCCTGGTGGTGCAGTAGAGGTCCTAAATCCCTGCCTGGCTGCTGTGGTAAATTGTCTAGTAGCAAAAAACCCTGAAACTAAACCCTGAAAAGACAGAGGTAATGTTGGCTGGTAAAGTGCTGGTCTTGAAGGATACTGTGCTCCCCACTTTTGATGGAGTTCAGCTGACCCTTGCTGACTTGGGGCTGTACTGGACCCAATGTTCTTCCTGGAAAAGCAAGTTAATGCAGCTACAAACAAGGCTTTCTCCCAGCTCATCCTATCCCATAAAACTCATCCTATCCCTTAACTTGAAAGGGCTGATCAGGCCACCTGGATCCACACCACAGTGACATCCAGACTAGACTACTGTAATGAACTGTACATTAGTCTCCCCTCAAAATCAGTTAACACACTCCAGTTGGTGCAGAACACTGCAGTTTGGCGCTTTGGATCGAATTTAGAAACAGATCAACATCTGTACTTGCTGTAAAACTTATTTCAATAAATGTCTGTTGCAGAAAAACAATTTCTATCTGATGAATTAAGCTTTGAGTCATGAAAGCTTATACCCTGAAAATGATTCTTGGTCTCTGTGCAGCTACTGGACTCTCACTTAGTTCTGCTACTACAGACTAACACAGGTACCCTCAAGAAAAATAATTGTTACCTTAAGCCATCCATCCTGAAGAGATTTGCCAAGACTGACCGTGTGAACATGAAGCGTCCTGTTTATTGGATCACTAATAATAGTGGCTGTTCCAGATCCCAAGTTGTAGCTGTACACCACACTGCCATTGCGCAGGCCTAACACCAGGAAATCATCACCATTGAGACCTGAAGAATTGATATCATATTAAAGTGGCAATCTAGGAAAGATAGACTCTCATTTTTAATGTAGAATCTGTTTTCATCTTTCCCTTTTCTCCCTCAGCATATCAGAAGGAAATGAGTTGTAAAAGAGAAAGGACAACAACAACAACAAAATGAAAGAAACCCTTTTGAGTGCTGAAAAACATAATTTTGTTTGTTTTCTGGCACAAAACCAGTGAATTTTGAAGACGTTCCTATTATTTTTGCATTTCTAGCACAGAAACGGAGGGCACCTATACACTTTAGTTTCATACAAGCAGAACAAAAATTAAAAACACCTTCAGAATTAGCCCTTTGTGCAATGACGTTACATATATGATTTTGGCATGCAAAAGGCTAATTTTTATTTCATTATGTTATAAAACATGTTGCGTTGTCCCTAGGAGCCACAACTCTTGGGGTTATGGCAGTGTGTATAATAGGACTTGAAAATGTTGCTTGCCTTTGTTCATGGTCTCCACAGACCCCAGGGCAATCCTATGATTGCTTTACTCCTTCAATTCTGCTCCTCAAAGATCCATGATATTCAATCTAAAATTGTCAGGTTCCACGCAGTTTCGGCTGGAAGCCTCGGTTGTGCCATGGGAGTGCTACGCTTCCCAGATGTGCTGGTGAGATCGCGCCTGGAAACTCCGGCTGTTTTCCATCTCACTTGTGTGGCTTCTGTTCCGTGTGACCGCAGCCTTTGTTTTCTGGCACAAAACAGGTGAATTTTGAAGACGTTCCGATTATTTTTGCATTTCTAGCACAGAAATGGAGGGCACCTATACAGTTTAGTTTCACACAAGCAGAACAAAAATTAAAAACACCTTCAGAATTAGCCCTTTGTGCAATGACATTATATATATGATTTTGGCATGCAAAAGGCTAATTTTTATTTCATTATGTTATAAAACATGTTGCGTTGTCCCTAGGAGCCACAACTCTTGGGGTTATGGCAGTGTGTATAATAGGACTTGAAAATGTTGCTTGCCTTTGTTCATGGTCTCCACAGACCCCAGGGCAATCCTATGATTGCTTTACTCCTTCAGTTCTGCTCCTCAAAGATCCATGATATTCAATCTAAAATTGTCAGGTTGAAACCTCTGGATTAAAAATGGAATGAGTACTAATCCAGACGGAACTGGAAGAATCTCTCATCCATATGGAGAGCATCTATAAGGTCATCACAGTTGGTAACCTGAATATTGCTTTCTAATTAATTCTTTAACCCAAATTCTTTCCATGTAAGAATTTTATCATCTTTGAAGTACGCAGTGTTTTAAGTGGATCAAATAATATTTCCTTATATATAATTGAGTAGTGGGGTGGAACTTTCTGAACATTCCACATGCTCCTAAATCTTGCCTGTTGCTAGGCAACCAAGATTGGTTCTGTCAGTAAAAGGCTCTTTCCACACCTATTTTGGCCTTTGGGAGAAAACTCATTGGGGCCAGTCCTCCTGACTAGGGTTGCCAGCTCCAGGTAGGGAGATTCTGTATCTAAGGAAGCCAGTCTAAGGAAGCTAGGGTCTGGGGAGGGGAGAATCCTCAGCTGAACAGAATGCTATAGAGGCCACAGTCCAAAGCAGTTCGTTTTCTTCAGGGGGAGAGAGATATCTGTTGTCTGGAG